GCCCGTGCCCCCCGCCAACTGGTCCGCTTGCGGGGCTCGAGCCCGCCCCTCCCTCCGCCGCCCCGCCCACAACCCCTTCACCTGCTAGACCCGGGTCTGAGATGCGAGACCACCCCCCAGGCCCCAAGAGGGGCAGGGGCTCGGGGCCTGGGGACTGAGTCCACCACCGCCCGTCACAGGTGAAGTCAGGAGTCAGCAGGGAAGGTGGACGCTAGGCTCAGCCTTTGCGGCAGCCAGGCGAAGGAACAGATAAACCTGACTCCGCCCCTCTGAGCTGGGCCCTTTCGTGAGTAAAGGGGTAACAGAGGTCCAGGGGCTCCACGTCTTCCCAATGGCTGCAGCTCCCCGTTTCAGCCCTCAGGAAAGGGGAGCCCGACTCCCTGAACCTGGTTCCCCCTTAGACCAGTTATTGGGTCCTTTCCTATGAACCCCCCAATTGCACCCTAGCTTCTCCTTCAGAGGGTTCTAGCCTCCCTGACAGGGAGGGAGAAGGCCTCTGCCCCCCGGGGGCACTTGTCCAGGAGGGCAGAGCCCACAGACCAGCATGGGTGGGAGTTGGGACATCTCTGCTACTTTCTTGTGGGCGGATGTTGTCATTCCAAGGGTGCTCACTGAGCCCTTCACACTCCTGGGTCTCCCCAACTGACATGTGGCTGGCATGTTTAGTCGGGGGGCTGAGGGGTGGGAAGAAGCATGAGAGATGGGGAATTTGGCTAAGCTGGGGGTCCTTGCTGGGTCTCTTCCGCAGATCCCCCAGCCCAAGTTCAACAGGGTCCCTCCCTCATGTTCCTGGCCAGCCTGGCAGGGTCCCGGACCACTGCTATGTTTCTGCCTAGGGCATTGAAAGAAACATTTGCATCTGTTGAGCATTTACAGTGCCAGGCACTTCACAAGGCCCTGTGGGGGGTAGGGACTGTCTTCATACCACACACAGACAGCCGGTTGACTTCTTCCACCACATCAGGAAGTCAAGAGCTGGGACTCAAAGGGTCCCTGCTGTGCTATCCGTGTGGATGGAAGAGGACGCCTGGTCCACCCCCTGTGGAACCCGCCCCAAGGCAGGTGTGGCCAGATGTGCCACCCACGAGTCTTCCTGCAAGTCCCCGACACTGGGTATCCAGTCTGTCCTGAGCAGTAGCCACTTCCCCTTTGGTTGCCCCCTTTAGTGCCGGGGCGATCCAGACATAACCACCCTCCTGGAAATGCTTGTGGATGTCACCCTCTCCTCACGTCCCTCTTTCACCAGTCCTTCTCATCGCCCTTTCGGGGTTCTCTCTTCTTGTCCACCCTGTGAGCTCCTGTAACCTCTGAACCTTGGGAGCCCTAGGGTATGATCCTGGGGCTTTTCTCCTCCCTCTCTGCCCAGTCCCTTGGTCTGCGAGCTGACAGCTTGAGCCAGAACCTCACCTCAAACTACAGTCCCACTTGTCTTAGCCTGGATTAGGGGGTGAAATCTCCAGGAAGCCAGAGTCAGGGGAAGAGGGAAGGGAGGCAGGACAGGAGAGCACATCCAGGCGCTCTGTTCCTGAGCCAGGCACGGCTTCCTTGGAGAAGTTGACTGGTTCTCCAACTAGCGGCTGACTTCGGAGAGGCCAGAAGAAAACCACGTGTTGGGAACAATTCTTCAATGGGAGGAACGAGGAGCAATTTCTCTGTTGGCTGTTCCCTGCCTCCCATTTCTTTGCATCGCTGTCCTCTCTGGGGAAGGCCCTGCCGAAGCCAGAGCCCCTGTGGCGCCCGCTGGGTGAAGGTGCCGAGGAAGCCAAGCCAAAGGGAGAGGCTAAGATGCTACCGGGAGAGAGACGACCAGTGCATGATGACCACAGGGAGGGCATACTGTTGCTGGTCCGTTCCAGCTGGGAGCCAAGCCTGGAAGCAGGTGTGGCTGAGCAGACCTGGCAAGGTCCAAAAGCTACATGCAGGTCACCCCTACGCCTGCCCCACCTACAGCGTTCTCCAGAGCACAGATCCCGAGAGCATCTTCATCCTCCCAGTGCTAGGGCCCAAACCCCCCAGTCAACCCTGGCTCCTTTCTCTCCGCCTGTCGATCTGCTCTGACCCACCCAGGTGCCACAGGGGTACCTGCCGTCCCTGCTCCCACCCATACCTGCCGCATCCTAGCTCAACAGCCAGAGAAACCTTTCGGAAGTCATCGTGCCATTCCTCAGCTCCAAATCCTCCAAGACCTTCCTGTCGCGGGAGGAGAGTATTAAAACAATGTCCTTGCTGGGACATGAAGACTTGGTGCCATCCGACCTCCCACTGACCTCTGACCCTCCCTCAGCTCCAGCACTCGGCTTCCCAGGCTGCTCCTCCTGCGGAGCAGAACCTGGATGGAAGGAAGCAGCAAGGGCAGGTCCTGCCCATCGCCGCAAGTCCCAGCACAAAACACACCAAAGCCGGACCCTCAGTCACTTCTCTACCATTTTATTTTGATCTCCAGCTCTGAGAAGGCTGGCCCTGCAAAGCCTCTTGACAGGCCTGGTACAGATACGTGCAACTGGAGGCGGGCAGCAGCGCTGGCAGGCCCTCAGAGAAAGCCTGCCTGTGCTTTCCTCGTAGGCTCTGAGCCGGGAGGAGAGCTCAGCCCCCGGGCCTCTTCTGCGAATGGCCAACAGCACACGGCCTATGTCCCTTGCTATAGGGTAGAGAGACAGTGGCCTAGCCCTCCCTCAAGGAGCAGGACAGGTGGCCCAGGCGGGCCTGTCACCTTCTTGCGCAGGGAAGTGGGCACCAGGGTGCAGGGTGAGCAGCAACCTGCCCAGCCCGGGCTGCTCCTGTCTCCTTTACCGGCAGCCCACGGGGAGGAGCACAGGCCGCTGGGGTGTCTGCAGCAGGCACCTCTGCTTTTCCTCCAAACCTAAGAGGGAAAGGGCCCCCGAGCAGTGTCTGGGGACATCCAACTGACACACGACAGGCTCTGGCTCTGACGCACTTTAATGAGTGCCCCGTCCCCCTCTGGCCAGGCTGCCCGGAGGCCGCGGGCTGCTGTCCCACAGCTCTGCCGGCCACCATCTAGTCACAGGAGCCATCCTTCCAGCCATCCCGCCAGCGCTCGTCCACTTGCGAGCAGTCGAAGTCCGGCTTGCCCAGCTTGCGGTTCACTTCATTGTGCAGGCGGCACAGCCACTGGCTGAAGCATGCCCGAGTGCGTGTGTCTGGCTGGTTCCTGCGTATCCTGTGGGGGAAGCAGGTGGAAGGTGGGGACAGGCCATGGCTCCTTGCCGGCTCCATGCAGGCGGGAGAGCTGGGGCGGCTGTCGGATACAGCCAGGAGGGCCTTTGTGCTCTGAGAGACAGGCATTCCCAGAACAGGGCTGACCCTGCACTGTCCAACAGTGGCACACTCCTAGGCCTGCTCAACCCCTCACCTGGGGAGCTCGGCAAACCCAGAGGAGAACTCAAAGCAAGACAATAAGGCACCAATCATGCAACTTTACAACCTCATAACAATCAGGAAGCCTCACCCCAGCATCCCTGGCCCCAGGCAGTGTGTGAAGGGGTGGGGCAGCACAAAGGCATAACTGAAAACCAGACCTGTTTCTAGCACCTGGGGCCCGGGGGCCTCGGCCTAGCAAAAGAGCTGTTCTAACTGCCCAGGCTTCAAATGGCAAGGGCTGCCCTGGCCCCCACATTCAGCGCAGAAACACTTATAGGTACCAAACAACAGCTCTTGGGCTCCCCAGGGAGGAAAAGGTGGCTCCCAGAAGCAAAAGCAGTGGGTTCTCAAGGCCTTAAAATCAGCAGTCCTGCTCCAGAAGTCAGGCAAAGTGGACTCATTAATCTGCCCGAGCCTCCAGGAGTACCAAGCAAGGGACTCTGTAAGTGAAGCTGGGCCGAGAGCCTCTGGTTGCAGGAGCAGCAGCCCCAGGCAGCTTGGCCCTTGAGGGGAAAGGAGACCGCTTAGTTGATCCAGTGCCCACTGTTGGTGGTCCCTGCTCTGGGCGACCCTCTGCACCTGCTTCTCCAGGCTCCCCTTTATGACATCAGCCAGGGGGGCCCCAGACCCTGGCTCCAGGAGGGATGGCTCTGCTGCCCACAGACAATGCAGACACACTTACCTCTTCCTTATATCTTCGGCACACTCCTCACACGGATAAAACTTGGAAAATAAATGTATGAACTGGGCCATGTCTTGCTGCTGTTCAGGGGTGGGCAGATCGGGGTAGTAGGCGGCCAGGGTGTGGAGGACAGCCCAGCTGTGGCGGCCCAGTTCCTCGCGGTCCTGAGGACAATCTTCCCTAAACTTGCTGTCCCGCTGCGGAAGGAGGCCGACCAAGGGTCAGTTCGCCTCCCCGGACCGGAAGGCCGCAGAGCTCCCATTTTCCCCCGCCCCAGTCAGAGGCCCACCGACTCGAGACGGAAGCCCGGCGGCCGCCGATCCCGCACACGAGTGGCTGAAACCCTAAAGGCCGGGCCTCCCTTGGGAGCAAGGTGTAGGGACAGCCCACCCTGGTTGGGGAGGGGGCACAAGTCTGTGAGGCATAGAGCCCGTGAGACCGCTCGGCTTGGGCCTCCGGAGGGTCGGCGCAGACGCCCGAGAACAAGGTGTGGGGGCCGGGACCAGGGGAGGTGGCGGCCCCGGGCATCTGCACCTTCTGCTGCGTCCGCATCCACGTCTTGAAGTCCACGCAGGCCCGGCAGGGCCGCCTCCGGGAGGTGTCCTCGGAGACCTGAGGATCTGGGGTCGGCGTCGGGGCTGGCGTCGTGGCCGAGGCGGCGGCATCTCTCCGCCCCGCGCCCCGGCCGCGCGCGTCCGTCACTAGATCGTCCATCACCTCTGAGCGCGCGCCGCCGGGCAGGAAGGAGAAGAAGCTCCTGCCGCAGAAGCGGCCCCGCTCGCCGGGCGCCGCCATGTTGCCCGCGCAATGCCTGCCGGGCCAGCTCGGCCTCCAGATGGGCCTCCAAGTCGGTCTCCAGGCCAGCGCGC